GTGGGGTCAGGGATTCTGGGGACCCGGGGATGTGGGGGCTCACGAATGTGGGGATCAGGGGATGTGGGGGATCAGGGATGTGGGGATCAGGGATGTCGGGATCAGGGATGTGGGGGCAAGGGGTGTGGGGATCAGGGTTGTGGGGTAAAGGGTGGGGGGATCAGGGATGTGGGGATCAGGGATGTGGGGCTCAGGGGATGTAGGGGATGAGGGATGTGGGGATCAGGGGATGTGGGGGATCAGGGATGTGGGGGATCAGGGGATGTGGGGGATCAGGAATGTGGGGATCAGGGGATGTGGGGGATCAGGGATGTGGGGGATCAGGGGATGTGGGGGATCAGGAATGTGGGGATCAGGGGATGTGGGGGATCAGGGATGTGGGGATCAGGGATGTCGGGATCAGGGATGTGGGGGCAAGGGGTGTGGGAATCAGGGTTGTGGGGTAAAGGGTGGGGGGATCAGGGATGTGGGGATCAGGGATGTGGGGCTCAGGGGATGTAGGGGATGAGGGATGTGGGGATCAGGGGATGTGGGGGATCAGGGATGTGGGGGATCAGGGGATGTGGGGGATCAGGAATGTGGGGATCAGGGGATGTGGGGGATCAGGGATGTGGGGGATCAGGGGATGTGGGGGATCAGGAATGTGGGGATCAGGGGATGTGGGGGATCAGGGATGTGGGGATCAGGGATGTCGGGATCAGGGATGTGGGGGCAAGGGGTGTGGGAATCAGGGTTGTGGGGTAAAGGGTGGGGGGATCAGGGATGTGGGGATCAGGGATGTGGGGCTCAGGGGATGTAGGGGATGAGGGATGTGGGGATCAGGGGATGTGGGGGATCAGGGATGTGGGGGATCAGGGGATGTGGGGGATCAGGAATGTGGGGATCAGGGGATGTGGGGGATCAGGGATGTGGGGGATCAGGGGATGTGGGGGATCAGGAATGTGGGGATCAGGGGATGTGGGGGATCAGGGATGTGGGGATCAGGGATGTCGGGATCAGGGATGTGGGGGCAAGGGGTGTGGGAATCAGGGTTGTGGGGTAAAGGGTGGGGGGATCAGGGATGTGGGGATCAGGGATGTGGGGCTCAGGGGATGTAGGGGATGAGGGATGTGGGGATCAGGGGATGTGGGGGATCAGGGATGTGGGGGATCAGGGGATGTGGGGGATCAGGAATGTGGGGATCAGGGGATGTGGGGGATCAGGGATGTGGGGGATCCCCCCCCGGGAACACCCAGCACAGGAACCCCCCCATGTGTGTCTCCCAAGAAAGGGGCCACTTCCTGAGCCCAGGAATGTGGGAATGAATCTCCAGCTGCAGCAGAACAGCCCAGTATGGACCTGCCAGTTCCTGCCAGGGGTCTGGGGGTGGATGGGACTGGAGGGTCCCTGGGAGGGCCAGGGGGGGTGGCCTTAACCCTTTGGTGACTGAACAGGGCTGGTTCCCCTCCCAAAGGTTCCAGTATCACCAGTAACACCTCCTGGTGCAACCCAGACTCCAATACCTCCACACACAGCCCCTGTAACCCCCCCAGTATCACTAGTGCCATCTCCAGTGTCTCATCCTCCATTCCCAGCATCACCAGTGCCATCTCCAGTATCCCACCCTCCATTCCCAGTGTCACGTCCCACCATGCTGTTCCCATCCCATGTGTCCCATTGACCCAAGGCCCAGCACCAGGTGTCCAGGTGCCATGTGGTGGGACACATGGACCAGCACTGTGTGTCCCAACACCACGTGTCCCAGTCTTGCAATGTCCTGAAGGTTTGTGTCCCACTGTCACTTGTCTCAGCACCACATGTCCAGGATGGCGTGTCCCAGCACTAGTTGTCACCATGTCACAAGTCCCAGGACTGTGTGTCCCACTGTTGCATGTCCCAGTGTCACTTGTTCCTACACTGTGTCCCCCAATGTCACCTGGTGTCCCAGTGCCACCCGTCAAGGGGCTGCATGTCCCAGGTCCCCCAGGCCCAGGGAGACAAACCAGGAACCCCCCAGTTCATCCCCATTCAAACAACCCCAAGAGGGAAATGGGGGGGAGGGGAAAAGTAGGGAAAAGGTGGAAAAAGGAGGAGGAAAGGGAGAAAAGGGAGGGAAGTGGGGGGGGGGAAACG